CTCCCACCCTTTCTTATTTTCCACCTCCTTTGTACTTTTATAATATTTATTTAAACTCTGATTATCGTTCCACTTCACCTTTTAAGATTTGACCCAATTTATTTATACACTTACATACATATACTATCTTTGTTATTCTTATCACCTGCATAAACCTTATTATCAATATTTTGTTATCATTATAATCATCGTTATTAACTACGTTCAAAACATTTACCACATTATTATTATTATTACTATTATTATTATTAAGACTATTAAGATTATTATTTGATTCCCAAAATCACCGTCATTGGTTAAAAATTTTATATATAAATCTATGTAAATTAGAGTAAAGCCTGAAGATCTAATTGAAAAGAATATAGTTCGCCTATATGTCTTGTTCTAATTTCATTTTATAGTTTTTTATAGTTTTTCCTACTCGTCGTGAGTGTGGTAGAACATTCTAGATGTCCGGGACAAGTGTCGAATCATTTCTGTTGCACGTATTTCAGTTGATTCGATAAGCAAAGCTTGCATTATCAATCTCTCCCTCCACCTTGTTATGTCAGATTTTAGATCTACCATTTTATCTCATCCTGTTGTATGGTTGTGTGTAATTGCATGTAGTGATATAGCTGAAATATTCTGCAGATTTCTTATCTTATTAAGGTCAAGTAATCTAACTTTCGCTACGTTTTTATGTTCGGCTAGTCTGACTGCACCTGTTCTACTACTTTGAGCTGCGTATTTGACGTGACAATCATTCCAGTAGGGTATTAGATAGACTAAATTGCTTTCTTTTTTAATTGGTTCCACAGGATCCTTTAACCGACAAAGTTTGTTTCTAATTGAATATGTGTGCTTGAATCCCAGGCATTTTTATTCCTGGATTGTTAGGAATTTCACTGAAGGTTTCTGAGGTTCCTTCTTTGCATGGAAGTAGTACAGATGATTTAAATTCCTTATTGTTGTTGTCATTCTGTGGATATTTGTCATTATTAGTGTCACTATTACTGTCATTAATATTGGTTTTATTTTTGCATTCTCCTAAATACTTCCTGATTAATTTATCAGGGTAATTATTTAGTTTTAAAGTTCCTCTTATATGCCTGACTTACATAATATTACAGTTTTACTCATATATTATTAGGGTTTGAAGTGAGTTGCAGCGTATCTATCATACTAGGCGATGCATTATAATGTAGTTCTAGCTAAATGGTTTTGAGTACCCAAAACGTATTATCTTATTTATTTTAGCAATGATGCAGACAGAGAGTTTGAGGCACTGTTGAACAATGCATATTTGAATGCTCTGCCTTACATCACTCATCTATAAGTTTGACTTCAAAATAAGAATAGATTATTTCTGATAGTGAGACAGAACATATTTTTAAGTTAGTGAGTCAATTTTTGTGGCAAACATCTTCAGTGCTACTTTTACCCAATGACTGCTTGCATAAGCTTTAAAAGTTAAAAGTGTATATGGTACTCACACAACTTTTAAAATCCCATTGATATTCATACAGCTTCGAAGTAATTTACTTCATGTGATGAGAGAATTATATGCTTGTTGAGAAGAATCTTTAAATAACACATATAGCATTTAAATACAATACTAATTCTATGAAAGTGAGCACACTACATTTACCTTTTTAAATGGGTCTACTAGTAAATGAAAGGTTAATGGATCCATTAAATATACTTCTTTTGTATGCCTTCGTTTCTCTGTTACACTTTCAGAAAGTTATCTTTATTTTCTAGAAAATTCTTTGTTCATATAATAAAATGGCTTTACTTCATGTATCAGACGGAATAAAATAAATTCGATAAAAGGATCTATCTAAAAAGTATGCCCTTATTTCTATTTTATTGTCTAATCTAATGCATCGGTGCCACAGCGCTAGAATGCTCTTTAGTCACGCAGGTTGTTCGGCATTTGATCTTCGGTCGACGCACTGCTTTACCTTACTAAGCCAGTAATAAGACAGGTGAAGAGGGAAGGTTGGGCATGAGGCTGGCTAGCAACCCCATCCCGTAAAAATAAATACCACTGCTACGGAAACTTCAAAGCTCTAGCTTGAAGTCCTGTTTTACACTTGGAACGTACATGAATAAAATTAGAAAAATAAAAGTCTAATCCAATTGAAATAGCTCTTCAATACTAAAATGGTGAGGAGAATGGTGAATATTTATCAGGTGTAATACAGAATCGTATTTCCTAATTCATAAGTGCATCAGGTAAACATAGAATAGACGGAGGTGACTAAGATAAACAACCAACAGCAGCAACAACAACCGGCCCCAATCACCATCAAAAGGAGAGATTTAAGAGAGGTTACTTCCTTCACTCCTTATTTATGGGTCAGGAACTTGGCAAGCGCCTAACGATAAGCATTTCCAATAGGTTGCAAACTTTAATCATTAGCTGCCTTCGCTAACTCCATATTGAAGATCAAATAGCCGGCGAGAAAGAACTAGCAACAAGAACCTCTTGCTGGCCGGGAACAAACCAACCAAGAGCCGACTACTTAACAAATATGTGGGGCAAAATGGAGAAGGATTGGGTAGAACTCTGAGGAGACCATCAAACGACATCACGCGCAATGAAGGTCATTTCTCGAGTGGAACCCTGACAAGAAATGACGAGTGGGTGGTCGGTGCGACGGTGATATAGAGGATATCATGTGGTGAGGAGGAGAGATTATGGTCAATCGTGAACTCAGCTGAAGAGGAAAGCACCAAATAGAGGATAGTTAAGATGTGTTGTTGAAGCCCTATGTTCCAATCGGAATCCAAGGGAACAATAATATAATATATAATATAATAAGTGCATCAGGTAATTCGTAAACTACCGAGTAAATACGATTGTCACTCTATTGGGATTCCAAAACAGTAAAAGCTTCCTATCGATATTTATTATGTACTTTTGAAACACTCTGGAGCAAAAACACTTTTACTGATACATTTTGTAAACAGTATTCAAATGTAGAATTAATTATCTTTTCCGCTAAAAGTTTCTTTAATTGGTACTTTGTTTCTGTGAAGAAAATTGTAATTATGATTTAACTATTTTCTCTAACTGTTCTAATTGCAATATACTAAGTTGCTTAAAAGGAATGAATATGTATTTATCGAAGATAGACTGTTAATCAACATTGAATAATGAGTGATTTGTGAACAAATTTAATTTAAATAAATTTTCTCCATAGGTGTCATATTGGTGCATTTTTAAATACTATCATCCATCTGATGCGACAATTTGATTTGTGAATCTTAAAAGGATACATTAATGATTATGCGTCGGTGGCTCAGCGGTAGAATGCTCCCTAACCACACATGTGGTCAGGGGTTTGATCACCACTCGGTGGACTTCTACGCTTCACTTATCAGTTAGTAAACCTGCTAAAAAGGGAAGGTTGGACGTGCGTTTCACAGTTTCACGAGTAAAATAAGCTGCACCACTAATGGAACATCACAGCGGAAGTTTACAGCCCTACGTTCTACTTAGAACGCAGAAGGACGAAAAACATGACCCCTTACGCCATCTTAAACAATACTTCTGAACACCGAATTATTTCACTTAGACTCTCTTTTTTTGAAATGTGAGATTCGGTCAACGTTTTTAAGCCCTTTCATAGCCATTTCTAGGAGTTGCATTATTTTCCTATGTGACTGATTCGAATTATGCTCGCTGTGGTTCGTTCGGTGATAAACTGCTTCTACAATTACTGTCTAATTAACTTCATAACACTTATTAAAGCATACATTGCCATTTCTTCAAGGAGGATTTTAGATGAGTTTACAAGATACTCCTTTTCTAGTCCGTTAGAGATTCAAGTGAATTAACCAGAAGTCGTAATCTCTATTGTCTCACGAGTACTGTAATCATTACTTTCAGTATTATCCTTTCACATTGGATGAAATTATTGGATTTTGAAACTTTTCTGAATATTGCATAAATCAGAGAGATTTGGAAAACAAGTAGAATATCTGTCTACAAATTAATCTACTAATATTGCATAAATTCTAGCGATTACAGGATTAGATATTCTCACAGAAAGCAGTGCATGTCTGCGATTTGAAACCAAACCTTAATTGGAAATACTTGCAACTGTGTATATTTTTTTCGATTGGTTGGAGGATTTTATCATGAACTGACGTCAGTTAGAGAACCACTGGAAAACCTGCAGATATTACTGGACAACTACTTCCTCCTAGTTTGGGACTCTTCAGCATTACGCACTCACCACGGCGGTTCGAACCCAGGACCTTCCGGTTACAAGGCGAGTGAGCGCGTAGACCATTAAGCCACTGGAACCCGATCCAATGGCCAGTTCATGAATTGTAACTTCTACCAATTCATGAGATAGCGTGACCACTTCGCAGTGTCTTCTTCGATGAGCTACTGCCTCACCTTCAACCTTCTGTACCCTACTGGTTAAGGCTTCCCACTAGAACACCAGGTCACTACCTGAATAGGGCTAGTCCCTAGTGATTATGATGACTATTCGTGACTTAGACATGACTGGACAAGGATTTTAAAGACAACACGCACATTTTTATACATTCCCTTGAAATTTTTTATTTCACTTTCACTGAGATTTAAACAAATATAATTTTCACGCATATCTACTTCTCAATTGGTGCTGAATTCTTATAGAACTATTCGGTCAAAGTCTTGATCAGAGTTCGTATAGATGTTTTATATCTATGTGTAAAAATTTTGTTCTCATCAGTGTGTTACCGTTATTTGCGTAAACTCTCAAAACCTACTGATACTATCTAGCAGCTATACGCAACATAAATACGTAAAGCCGTGTGTTTAATTACTCTTGACATTAGTTTACCTTCTTAATTTAAATAATAAAATATTTTTTTTGAAAATTTCTCTAAATGAAGTGCTGAAGATTTAAGTTACTATTTATCTAAACACAACCATGAATGGTTGACAAGAATGCAGGAGAATCGACGGTTTGATCCATAGTGAAATAGGGTACAAAATTAAACAACTTACTTACCTGCATTGCACTAGACACAAAGGTTGAATTTACTGAATTCATCCCTCTTCGAGGTCTTGTTAATTTTAATTTAATGTATGAAAAGCATAACTGACATGTATGAATTCCACCGAATGTATTCATTAGACTGATACCAAATGTTGACATCCATGTGAAACTACACAGAAAGAAGTAATGTATTAAAATTGCTATTGTTACACAAACATAACGACTTGATATATGTATTTGTTCAACTATAAGAGGTAGAGTGAGGTATATTAATAATAAACTGAGAATTGATGAAGCTAGACCCATAATTAATTGATTTGATAAACGTTGATGTAAAGATTTCGTTTTACCGTAGACTATCAATAGTACACAAAGACAAAGTGCAGAGAAGATACAGACAATTATTTGTAAAATATCTAGGATAGATTCAATTACGTTTAATACTTTATTTTGTTCTTCGTTCTTCTCAGTAGATATTTCAAAACCTAGATACTTTTCTGGTAAAGCAAGGAACTCATGCCATTTTATATGGTCACGTAAGAAGCTCTGGTGTTTCCTATAAGACTGAGCAAGTATTCCACAAGGCCGTGATAAACTTGGAGGTAATGTTGATTCAGCGATACAAATTCTGTTTCCTGATTCAGATAAATGACAGAAAAATTTCACTGTAAAAAATTGTAAATTTTTTCTTATATGCTCATTGAAATCTTCACCTGGTACCATTTTAAGCTCACCATGACATTGAGCACAATCAATGTTTGCATATACTCGACCAGTTTTCTGTGATACTACAGGCGCAATAGCTCGTATATCAGATGTTCTTATATGAAATGGAATAGCATCTAATATAACAACTGAAAAATGGTCTTTCGATAATGAAATCCAGTCACTTCCACTTGCAGTTATATCATGAAAGAATAATTCGATATCTTTTGAACGATTACATCGACGAGCGAGATCTTTTGGTGTATTCAGGGGACATTCTGCAACAGCATGAATTTGTTCAAGCAGCACAATTCCATCTTCATGTGTAGTAGTATTTAATTCATTTATTCCGTGTACTTTTTTGATACATGATGTTTCTAAAATATTATACTGTTCATCAGCCATTAATAAACTTTTATTCAAAAGTGGATAGTCTGAACAACAGTCAGATTTACTCATACATAATTCATCACAAAAACATTTTGCTATCAGGGACGGACATGTATCATTTGTGACTAGATTATGTGCTTCCACGTAATCATCTTCAAAATTATCCTCAGTTACTGTTACTGATGAGAATGAATAATCAGGTAACAGGCATATACTAATCAAATAAATATATCCCAACATTTTGCTTCACTTTCTATACGATACAAAAATTCGTACATGTAAAACTGTAAAAAGTGGTCTACCAACTTGTTTATATATGTCTAATCGAAATGACCTTGAAGAGGATGCACCAATGAAATAAGAAAGTTCGACAAGTAATTAAAAAATGATAAGCATAACAAAAATTGCAATCAGCACTTCTTATTTTGCTTTTCCAGACAAGACAGTTTACAACATATTTTGTTTTTATTCATAACAGAATTAATTCTCTGTTTTCAATTGACATAATGACGTGGAATTTTCATGTGATGAATTAGTTCACATTTATACTAGGGGATTTTGTATATTGGTTAGGTATTTACCGCACAAATGGCATTCATAGTATGTGGGAAAAAGCTATTGGCAGGATTTATTTTTTAATGCAAATATATAATGCATCGTTCTAAAGTTTGACAAAAAAATATTGAATCGATGCATGCTGGAGAATACAGATGAAAAGGAAACTGATGTAGGTTACAAACACACGCTAGTCGTAGTCAATTTTATAGAGGAAATAACTGACAAGTGTAGGATGCCTTTTAGAAATAAAATATGCAAGTCAAATGATATATTAGTAATCTGAAAGCAATTTTTAAATGATATTTGGCGGTAAAATGACAATCTTAATGAGTGCATTTGTAGGGATCTGATTGGCTTCAAGTTTGATTACGGACTGATATCAGTTAAAGAACCACCGAAAACCGAAGAGTACACGATAACCGTTTCATCCTAGTTTGGGACACATCAGTAGCACGCACCCACCGTGCTTCAAATCCAGGACTTTCCAGTTACAAATTAAATTCGTAGACCGTTCGGCCACTGAAACTCGACTGAATGGCTAGCCGATGAATTCTAACTCCTACCGATTGGTGATTTTAGTACGACTACCAGCCACTATTGACTGTGGCTGTAATTGACTGTGACATTATTATTGTATATATATTGACGGATTTACATGTTCAAGTTGGCTCAAGTCAGTGAGTCTATGGTTTTGGTTAACTGAAATTGACTGTGATATTATTATTGTTGTTGTCGCTTGTTACCCTTCTTGTTGTGAATTATTTTCCCGTGCTGGTGTATTTCTGCTTGTTTATTCCCTGGTTTTTAAGGGGAGCAACCCACAAGGTCGCTTCTCCCTAAATTATAAATTGATGTAACAACCCCCTTCTCAGGCGTGAGGCTAGCAACCCCACCCTGTAAACAAACCTGCTACAGAAACTTCAGCACGATGTATCTCCTTGAGACAAAAGAAAAAGTCTTTGTGGGGACATGGAATGTCCGCACCGTGTACGAAATCGGCAAAGCTGCCCAGATCGCAAACGAAATGAAAAGATACAGAATTCAAGTACTGGGAATATGTGAAAGCAGATGGAACGGGAATGGACTCACCAAATTGTCAACGGGTGAGTCAGTGATCTACTCCGGTCACCCAGAAGATAACCACTCGCACACCGAGGGCGTGGCTATCATGATGTCACCAACGGCAACGAAGGCCCTGATGCAATGGGAGGCGATCTCGCCCAGGATAATAACCGCCAGATTCAACTCCAAAGGAAGGAAAGTGTCAATTATACAATGCTATACACTGACCTACAACGCAGACCTCGAAAAGAAAGAAGAATTCTACAGACAACTGCAGACAGCAATGGACAATACTCCAGCTGGTGACATTAAAATACTAATGGGAGATATGAACGCCAAACTGGGACCAGACAACACAGGAAGGGAACTCATCATGGGTAGAGAAGCTCTCGGGGAAATGAATGAAAACGGAGAACTCTTCGCTGACTTCTGTGCCTTCAATGAACTAGTGATTGGTGGCAGCGTATATAAACACAAGGATATCCACAAAGCTACATGGGTGTCACCAGATGGGCGAACCAAAAACAAATCGACTTCATCTCAATCTCAAGAAAGTGGAGGCGCAGCCTCCTGGACACAAAAGTAAGAAGAGGAGCAGACATTGGCTCAGGCCACTATCTCGTACAAGGGACAATCCAAATCAAATTAAAAGCTTTCAGAGAAACAGGAGCTGCAGATAGACCACAAGCCAAGTTCAACACTCAAAAACTGAAGGACCAGGACACAAAGGACATCTTCACTGCAAGCATAAAGGACACAGCCGAGACACAAATCAACACTGAAGAAGAGGTCAGCGTCGAAAAGCACTGGAACAACTTGAAGACAGTGTGGAGTCAAACCTGCATGGAAGTTCTAGGCAGAAAGAAGAGACAGGACAAACAATGGCTCACTACGGACACCTGGAAACTAATAGAAGAGAGAGGGATGGTGAAGCAAAAGATTCTCCAGTGCACCGATGAGCAACAAAAACAGGATTTGAATGCAAGCTACAAGACACTGAACAAAAGAGTAAAGAAGAGTGCCAGAGGAGACAAAATAGAATATTATGGAGCAATGGCAAGTGAAGCAGAACAAGCTGCAGGCAAAGGAGATCTCGCAAAACTCTACCAAACTACTAGGTACCTATCGGGAAAACGTTTGACACAAATCAAGCCGGTGAAGGATGACAATGGAAAGTCACTCAACAAAGAAGTGGAGCAAAGGAAACACTGGGCTGAACACTTCAAAAGACTCCTAAATCGACCACCACCTACAACGCGCCCAACAATACCAACAACCAAGACAGAGCTACCAGTGAACACCAACACCCCGACGAAATCAGAAGTCCTGAAGGCAATCAAGATGCTAAAAGCTGGAAAAGCAGCAGGACCAGATGGAATCCCAGCAGAAGCATTGAAAGTGGACCCAGGGACAACAGCGGACTTGATAACGCCACTACTGGAGAAGGTGTGGAAAGAAAGCAAAGTACCCGACGATTGGAAGAAAGGATGCTTATTCAAACTGCCAAAGAAAGGAGACTTAAGTCAATGCAAGAACTGGCGCGGAATTATGCTCCTGTCCATCCCAAGCAAAATACTAAGCCGCATCATCCTGGAGACAATCAAACATGCCAGCCTGGATGAAAAACTTCGACCGGAACAGGCTGGATTCGGGAGAAACAAGTCATGCATTGATCAGATCGCCACATTACGGATCATCATTGAACAAAGTTTGGAGTGGCAGTCACCTCTCTATCTCAGTTTCATCGACTTTGAAAAGGCTTTTGACAGCGTCGACCGAGAGGTGATCTGGAAACTACTTCGCTACTACGGTGTGCCACCGACAATTATACATCTCATCCAACAGCTGTACGACAATGCTCCATGCCAAGCAATCCACACCGGGAAACTTACGGAATCCCTCGAAGTGAGGAGAGGAGTAAGACAAGCTGGCTGCCTACTATCGCCAATGATTTTCTTGATCGCAGTAGACTGGATAATGCGACAAACAGCGGGCAATCAGGAAACAAGCATAAAATGGACTCACACAATACACTTGGAGGATCTGGATTTCGCCGATGATATTTGTCTGATTTCCCACAAACTGGAAGAAGAAGCATCAAAGATAGGACTTCAGGTGAACATAGAGAAAACAGAGGTGAGGAAGATTCCTGGCCAACACCACCAACAGCAACAACAACAACTGACAACAATCAGCATAAATGGGAGGAACCTGAAAGAAACAACCTCTTTTACCTAACTGGGAAGCATCGTTTCAACTACAGGCGCACGGAACTGATGAGGATATCAAAGCAAGGATCGGAAAAGCAAGACAAGCTTTCGCTACTCTCAAGCCTGTGTGGAGGTCAACAACACTCAGCATCAAAAATAAGATCCGGATTTTCAACTCCAATGTGAAGTCAGTGCTACTATACGGATCAGAGACTTGGCCAGCGCGTCATAAAGAGCATCTCAAACAAACTACAGACCTTCATTAACAGTTGTCTCCGCTCAATACTTAGCTCAAGATCAGATTGCCGGCCAGAAAAGATCAGCAACAGGGATCTTTGGGAACGAATCAACCAGGAACCGATTGTCAAACAAATAGGCAGGAAGAAATGGAGATGGATTGGCTGGCCATACTCTGAGGAAACCATCGAGTGACATCACTAGACAAGCCACTGCTAGAGTGGAACCCGAAAGGGAAGCGGCGAGTTGGTCATCACTGCAAGGATGACTTGGAGGAGGTGATGTGAAGAGGAGATGAAAACGTGTGGGCAGACTTGGAGCCAGGTGAAGACTCTAGCAGAGAACCGAACGCAATGGAGACGCACGGCTGAAGCCCTATGTTCCTGTAGGAATTAAAGGATACAGTAATAATAATAATACCAGCCACTATAATCGGAGAGTATTTGTCCTCACTTCCGACCAGATGGACCTCACTGGTTATGACTTTTCACTAGAACTCTAGGTGACTTCATCCATTAGCCAGTCACTAGCGAACATTAGATTAATTTTCATTAGCTTGTTTGTAGGGATTTGATTTGATTGAAGTTTGATCACGGATTGATATCAGTTCATGAGCCATTGAGTTGGGTCCTAGTGGTTTGCATTTTAACCGGAATGTCCTGGGTTTGAAACCCAGTGGGTATGTGATACTGATGAGTCCTCAACTAGGACGAACCGGCTGTCGACTACCACCTAGTTTTCAGCGGTTCTTCAAATGATATTATTCTGTGGTCAAACTTGAAAATGGAAATCATTTCAGGAATCACTAACAGGAAGACTTTTTATCAGGAACCTAGCATTAATACATGCCATAAGGAATGTCTCGATTCAAGTATTGCAAATGCAACCACAGTTTCAGTTTCCCTAGTGTTTTCTCTGCTGATTATTATTCTTGAGGTTCTTCTTCTGTAGATTCAGTCTGGAGAGAGATGAGGCTAGCTGGCTGGTGAGGCCAGGAAACTCACCCCGATATATACAACACCACTGCTACTGGAATTGCAAACTCTTAAAACTGTATTTCGTACTTGGGACCCAAGAGATGAAGAAGAATGAAGGTAACATATTTATTTTTCGTAAAGAATGTTCATATATATGGTAGGTTGAGTCACAGTTTTTGTTCACCAGTGGTCCCTGTGCTGGTTAATAATCTCTAAGTTATTCTCCTGAAA